ATTACTTTTCAATATCACGATCAAATATAAATTGAACACGTAGTAGTGTAAATCGCATGATTGCAAAAAACAAAAAAAAAACAAAAAAAAATCGCGATCGGCGTCCGCTTTATCAAGAGATAAAATAAAAATATGTCCTCGCAGAAACTATAAAAATAAAACGGTATGGTAAGCAATCTTTTTTAGCGTTTTTTGTGACATTGATCTTATAAGAGCGGAAAATTAATAATTTTAATTTTAATCTTTCGCTTCCATCAAGACTTTCACTTCCAAGAATTTTATAATCGTAGATATTTCCTTTCTTTATTTATCATAATCAAAAATACGTACATGTAATTTTAAAATCATGCGATACTTTATTGCGTTTCTTGGATGAAGTTTAAGTTATGAATAATTAATTTATTACATAAATCGCAAAATTTTTTAAAATTTAATAATAATTGAAGAATACAAAGAAACCCTACGAAAAAAACTCTATTTTTATTTTCTATAAATTTATTTTAAATTTTTTTAGATCATTATTTAAACATGTAATTTTTTAAAAATAAACATGACAGCAAGGAAGTATAAAAATAAATTTTTTCGGACAGTTTGACGAAGCCATAAAATATTCTTGAATAAAATCCGCATGATATAGTATCTATAGTTTTTATATACAATACAAACATCTCATGAAAAATTCAGATATTTCTTTCAATAAATAAGCACCCTATGTTAAAGAAGAATAATTTTAGCTGTATCGCTCGTATGTTTTGTCGTCTATATGTTTTCCTTCTCAAATTGTCTTTTTTTCGGCTTTATGTAAGCTAAAAATGCATGGAGGATAAAATCTCGTGCGTATTATTTTAGAAGGTGACGCGAAGGTCGACGAGAACAAGTTCGAGGCAAAACTGGAAATCATAGCGCGAATTCGATGAAGGACCAGCAGCACAGAGAGCGGAGCTTTCTTAATATTTTTTATTTCTCGAATCACGACCTCGACGCGGTAAGACCGTTAGCCTTCCGAAGCTAAATTGTAAGCATGTTATTGTATATGTGTGCGTCTGTCTATTGCATAGAACGGCATTCCGGAATATTAAACAATTTTTTAAATATATAATATATTAGTCTATACATATGATGTTAATCGAGAGTAAAAGCTTTCGTTCTTCTTGGATTTTAGATCAAATTTGAATATTCTTCAAATATACTTAAATCATTTGATATATAATAAATTTGGATTTAAATAGACTACAATTTTAAGTAAATATATATATAATAATATATGTAATACATTGTAGTACATATGTAATACATTGTAATAAACTATATTTTGATTATATATCAATGAAAACGACAGTAAAGCAACTTTCGTTATCAGTCAAACATAACTTAAGTTTCTGATGCAGTTCGAATCTAAAAAAGCGACGTAAAACTAATCTTTATTTTTTTTAAATAGTCACATCTATAAAAGAAATCTCTGTGTTTCATATTGCTATTATAAAGCTAATCTTTCTCTTACGTGTCTTATTAGATTGAATTGATTCACTCATTGCAACATATTGCAACGTTAATCGGTATAATCTGATAAGAATCTCATACGCTTGTGTCTTATAATAACAGAAGAGAAATCATTTTCGAAACATAATGAAAATGATTTTTTACAATATGTGTTATTAAAAAACCGATATACTGATTTTATCATCACGTCGATGTGGTTAACTGATTTTCGACTGGAAATTCCATGTTTTGTTTTTAGATCCCCTTCTCGTATCAGTTCCACGCTGATTAAAGATACAAACATGACGTATTAAACCTGCCGCGATAAAGAGCTAAGGCTATTTATAGTCCATGCTCATGCCACTATTCGGCACTAAGTAAAATTGTCATTCTAATACCACGTTTCTGCTATTTTAAGAAAAAGATCATTGAATATCTGCGTATAATTACACAAAAACTTTCAAGAATAATATTCTAGTAATCAGGATTATTATATTATTTATAATATAAATATTCTTTAATTTTAGAATGCATATATTCTCATAAGGTACATACTATTTAAGAAGAAAGATACATCGAAGCTACACAGAAAATAGTTTGAATATCTCTAAAGCTTCTTAATTTCCTTATTATCGTATTTAATTACGATAATAATTACCATTAATGATAAATGTTATATCTGTACCAATCAGTACAAATATTCAATCAGCTGTGTGTACCCGTTTTACATCATCCGATTTTTAAGGCGGAACACTAAATACAATCAATCGATCCCGGTTAGGGCCACTAATACATATAATGTACGACCGCTATTCGCACATACGTATGTAACATACATCGTCAAGTGGCAACATTCCGCATACCGGCTTACCTCGAGGGACAATTATGAATTAATTAATCATCGAATAGACGTCAGCGAATAAGCCGTACCGTAATAATGGCACTGTCGACGACGATTAAAAGGCCGTGGTGAAAAGATGACGTAGAGAGAAAGTCAGGGGCTTTGTGCCGTGTATACGCCTATGTCCGGTCATTGCACTACATAATTCCTTCTCCTTTTTAACTTCGCGCGCAGTGATGATCGCTCTACAGTCATGTCAGTGCTCGAAATTTCATCGAATTGCTTTCCGTTTATTGTTGCGATCGTATTTCGATCGCGATCGACCGTTTTCAGAGTGCTCGTGCACGAAGCAAGCCGGAAGGCCGTGTCATTTTGCGCACAACATAGAGGGAACGTGAGAGAGAAGGTCACGTGCCGCCTTCGTTATCACGAAAGTCGCGTTTTCGGAAGTCGCAACTTTCTCACTAGCGTTAATACCTCGGCAAACTTGAAACTGGTTTTTGTTTAGCAAAAATTCGACGGAGGAATTTGCCGAGAAGGTGTGATATCTTTTCAAATCTTAAGATTAAATAATTGATTAAATCTTTATTAAATAAATATTCATTCTTAATTAAATTTCAATTCATCATTATATAAATCTTGATTAAATCATATCTTTTTTAAGAAATACGATAAATAAAGCTATAAATATAAAGCGCATCCGCTGAATCAGCTATTGCGTTTGTGAACAGATAACGAAATCTTATTTTTCGACCAAAATTTCAAGTGGTCTTCGTAGCAAAAAAAAAAATTTTTTTGATATATTATCTCTTTTTAATCTCTCAAATTTTCTTTAATTATTAAAAGATTGATTAGCAATGCATGCGTATCATATTCATGATAAACCTTGACATTCGCGAAAAACAATACGATGTAACAAGACTCCAAATTAATCAAAAATTCATATCGTTTTGAAGATAAATTTCTCGATTGGGGAGAAAAGATTTATGCGAGAGGGCAATTTAACGCAGTGACAACGAGAAGGGTGAGACCCGTGTGCGATAAACGCTCGACCAATACGGAATTAATGATGACCTTGTTGCTTGTTGATCTACCGGCAAGAAGTATCGCGCACTTCCGGTTGATCATTTTGCACCAAGGCTGTATGATCGAGAGAATGCATGCATGTACGCGATCTATCTACCGTATATATCTATTGTTTTTAATTGCCGTTTATCTGAAGACGTAATTACCAATGACGAATACCGTCCGAATAAACCTTGGTTTAATTTTGTCTATCATTCCGATAACTCGATTGAATGAGGATAAAAGCCTCGATAATTGATGAGATATCGATTGTCAATTTTGGCAAATAATAATATTGCTCCAATTTATATAAATATTTATATGTAAGTAACAATTCCACAAACTCTACTTCTAGTTTAGTATAACATCGGCGAAAAATTTAAGAAATTTATAGTTTTAATTAATTATGCAACATTCTTATGATTAATGAAAAGACGGTTTTTTTCATGTAGTATATATTTTTCATATTATTTGTTATAAATGATAAATTATTTATTACTGTTTAAATAATAATTATTATATAAGCATGCGTGAATATTTGTGTGAATATTTTAGCTAGTAGTAAGATAAATTGTATATCTCTCTACCATTTGTCTCTCTTTTTTTTGGCGATTAAACATATATGCAAACTATTTACTTCAACTTCATAGATATATCATGTATTTTTTTTCATCTTATCTAAATGTATGTATTAAAATTTATTTGTATATGTGACAAATTAAGAGAGTTACTAAAGACTTTCAATACCTATGATTTTAATAATTTAATTTTTGAATTATTAAAAAATTGTGTAGGCGTTGAAAGTTTTCACACACACACACACAGTAATTCTCACAATTTATCACATACAAACAAATTTTAATACATATATTTAGATAAGTTGAAAAAAAGAAAATAAATGACATGTATGAATTTAAAGTAAATAGTTTGCATAGATGATGTCTGGTTAAATGATTTATAAGAAGTAATATATCTATCAAAAAATTGTCTTTTCATTAATAAGAATGTTGAATAATATAATTAATTAAAAATATAAATTTCTTAAATTTATCGCCCAAGTAGTTATACTAAATTAGAGGTTTGCAAAAATAACTTTTTTATATATTATAAATCTAAATGTATCCGTTTCATATCGTAATAAAATTTTTTTCTTTGTATTTTTTTTAGATATGTTATTTGTAATATTCTTTATAGAATAGAATAATTTTTTGTTTCTTCGTGTAAATTTAAATAGCTTAAGAGCGTAATCCTTATAAAATAATGTTTAATTATTTATTTCATATATGTATAATTTCATTAATAAATATTGAAATATTAACAATATATAAAATTTTAATATAAAAAATAAAAATTATATCTACGAAATTTAATATACCTTAAATTCTCTAAAATACTTTACGCTCTAATTTATAACGTGCATTGTTAGTTCAGCAGAAAGTTCTTTTAATTAATTGTTTTTGTCAAAAATTGCTTTATTAAAATACCAAATTAAATACCACAACGTAAGTTTTGGTATCCATTAAGTAAAAGTTTATCTCTTTCATTCGTATAATAAAATTATAAAATATAATTTGTAGTGACAAATGTAATTTCATAAAATCAAAGTTTCACTCACCCTTGGCCCATCCGGTCAGCACATTCCCGAGATACGCGACCTTGTAGGAGGGATCATACTCAGTTATCGACACGTTGCCTCTGTGTCGTCTCCAGAGTCGGCCCAGTCCTCTCTTCAGGGATCTCAGTGTTCTCTGACCGAATTCCTTGCTCGCGCCAGCTGGTTGCATAGTGCCATCGTTCTCATCGATAGGATCCGCAACAACATCACCCATCGTCTTCATCTTTGCGTTTTTCTCACACGCGGAGAATTTCGCCTCGATTTTCGCGTTCGTTTTGAGTTCACGTAAAAAAATTCTTTCTCGGCCGAATCACCACACTACATCGTGTCACTGCTTCTTCGCTGTGTTTTATCGTTCGATGTCGGAGAAGAGATAAATCTCTTACTCGTCTGGCCAAGATAGATAGAAGAGAGCTGTCTCGAGACTCCCGACCGGTGTCAGCGATCGAGGGAGATTGCAAAACTCGAATAAATTGTCGGCACTTTAAGCGACTGCTGATCACTTAGACAGGAACTGTCTGTCATTCGCCGTTTTCAAGGCCGCTGTCTTCCCCTATCGTTGCTCGCGCATGCGCGGAAAAATCGCAGCTTCGTTCTTTCGTGTGACCCCGTGTGTCATCTTCTTTTCTTCCGCGAATGTCACTGCGTGTTCTTCTTGCCCGCCGGCGAGATTCACGATACGTCTCTGAAATAAAACAAATGGTCGTTGACATAAGATCGATTTGCTCTACGCAAGGTCAATCAGTGACACCGCTCAACCTAATATACGTGCTATATTTTTTCGAATATAATATATAGATTCAATCAGAAAAAAAATATGCAAAATTTGTAACTCGCGAAAGTAGGTTGAAGTAGATCGATTGAAATTTATTGAATCTCGATTAAACTCATATATAATTCAATATGATCTTAAATATGTTGATTTTTTTAATGCTGTCAAATATGTGGTAACTAATTCGATTTTTTGCGAAACTTGTTGGAATCATTATCCAATAAATAAATCTCAAATATCCTTTAAAAAACTTTCTTTCATACGTTCTTTTTTATTTTCGCAGATCTTCAATTATATGAAAAAATACAAATTAGTATGTGGTAGAAATAAATTAGTGTACAATGTAATTAAAGCTAAAGATATTTATTTTGTGCAAATGAATTATCTACAAAAGAAATTATTAAATTAGAACTTGATGTATAAAAGCTTCTAATGTCCATTTTTAATGATCGTTATATCTTTATGACTTTAAACAAATTTCTTTAAAATTTCTTAAAATTCATCTTTGGTTCGCAATAACGTCATGAAAATGTCTGAAAAGTTCCGAGGTCAAGTGTTTAAGTATAATAAAAGAATTTTAGCATTGCCTCATAAAAACACAAATATTGACTCTATTAATTTTATCGCCTCGATCGAAAGGTCAATTCTCTGTGAAAGAAATAATTAAAAAAAAAAAAACCAATTCTTAGGAAAATTTCTTAATTTAAAATTGTACAAAAATATTCTTTTGTCTATATAATAATAAAATAATATAAAAAAGAAAAGGAGAACAAGAGAAAATATCTTTACACCGCTCACAATGGATCTCTAGAATTTAGGAAATCAAGAAAGTTGCTTTCAAACGTTTAAAAAGATTTACCGATAAAAAAAACATCGGTGAGCAGGATGTCTAGTCAAATCATATAAAACAAGTCTCTGAAAATTCCTTGATCTTTCAGGATATTTTTTTGTTCAAGATTCCAAGTAAAGAGAATATTTTACAGATCTTTTGGTGTGTGTTTGCACCTTTCTAAAAGAAATTTTTTTATTGTATGCGTTTTCGAATGATTTTCACTATACAAAGCAAAAATAGAGCCATTTAAGTTGTATGAACATAGACAGATATATATTTCTAATATATTTTAAACGCATAATTTTCACAACTTGGCTTATCGGTAAAATGCTGACTGATTAAAATATAAGAACAAAATTATTCAAGATAGAATTTTTTCAAAAATGTCTCAAATCCCAGTAAAATTCTATGACAATTCCCTGATTTTTCTACAGATTGTAAACTTGTTAAAATAAACAAAAGAAATCCCTAAACAAAAGAAATCCCTAAACAAAAGAAATTCTTGAGAAATCCAAGTTTTCTATGTTTTTCCAAGGAATAGACACCCTGATGAGGGAAACTAATGTAAAAAAAAAAAATCAGAATACGTAATAAATTGTACTTGGATTGCATCGAAATTTCTGTTGTCATAAAAAACAAGATAATATGAAGTTACTAGTTATTTTTTTTCCTGTGAAGAAAAACTCGTAATTATTAGCTAACTATCAGTGAGGCGCTGCCAATCGACATCAAATTAGTTTTTTTCCGGCATGTTTCGTGCAAGTATATTACACTTAACCAATATCAACAAAAAACGAAATTGCGCGTTCTTTACAGAAATTGTGCCAACATGAAAAATTACTTTTCATGCAACGCGCGATGGAACTTATATATACATATAACTCGCGTTGATAAGAATTTAAACGAGAACGAAAAGCAAACTTACGGTTTCGTGCCTTTTTAGTACAAGGCTGTTGCGTACTATGCTCGTTTTAAGACCGTACAATACGAGATATAGTGAATACGCGCGTTTGTCCAATTAATTTATCTCAACGGAAATTACGGTTTTCACCGGAAGTTTTGCCGGTCGGACTACCGCGAGATTTCTCAATCTCCGCCAAAATTCGTTCAACGCTGACATTCGTTTGCGCAGTAATTTCGTTTAACAATAAGACTTGAGACACGTATATAAAACAAAGATATAGTTTGCATAATACACGCAGTACAAATTATATAGAAATCACGTAAAACAAATATTATATTGTTTTCTATTTATTTATTTTTTTTTACAAACACTCAATTATTTGACCGTTAGAGTTAGCATTAAAAAGATTGATCGTGACTATGAATTCAGTTTTCTGTTAGAGAACTATTTCGCGCACTGCTGGAGCATAGCGGTCGGTTGCCTCAACATTGCGAAAGAACATCGCGGGAGAAGCATTTCCGGACTCGTATGAAACATTTTTTTACCTCTTCTGAGAGATGCGTCTTTCTAAATTGTTTCCTAAAATTGTCTATCATTATTCGCTAAATATCTCGTATTATCGCGCTATGTTGTTTACGAACATGTCTTATAATTGAAACATGTGCGTCGAGCGCAGATAATTGCTTTTGTATAACCGGCATAGTTATGCAGCGGCAGGTGGACTTTTGTTGTTACGTTTAAACGTGACTTACCGCGCTTCTTACTAAATAACGTGGAAGATAAAAATTGCGCACTTTCCCTTAAACCCATCGCACACGAATCCCTCTTCTTCGTTATAAATATTCACAATTATAAAAATAATTTTTCAACATAAAAAATATCTGTTTAGAAAATTCATTGAAAAATATTAAATGCTTCGGATCTTTACGAAATTACTTCTGAAATTTGTTGCATATCAACGTATCGACTTCTGTGATATAGATATCAATCAATTACATAACGAATTGTATAACGCATTGGAAAAAACAAATAATATATCTCACTCGTACTAATAGCGACTGCATTTCGCTTATATTATCTATTAAAATTTAATCATTCGTATTCAGTCACTAACCTTGAAGCTTAGCGAAAAAATTTTTGACATATATGTATCAAGTGAAACACAATAATTATTTTTTTTCCCAAACAGAATTTTTCAATTAAGAAGTATAAATCTCTAGTTCGCGAAATAAGCGAGTTTTCTTCAATGCATAGATACAAACTTATATCAACAATTTTTATTTTGCGTTGAAATGCATATGAAAAACATGTGTGATTATTGCGGTCATTATTTGAATTTTTATGTTCAAAACATCATAATCCTGATGCATAAAAAGGTGACAGATGTAACTATCGCAACAGTATAAAAACAAGTATGTTTGTACTATATAATGTACGTCTTATTTAAACGTATATTTAATGCGGTTGTGTAAGTTATGTAATTAGGCAAATAACAAATCGTTCTATGAATGACAAAAAGAAATGAAAGGTTATCTTTTTTGTGAAATATATGGTATATTTTTTTATATTATATATGTGTGTATATGTGTATGTGTGTGTAAAACTTTTAGATAGAACGTCATAAAATTAATATTTGCTTTAAAATCTGGAGGTCTGAAACCCGAGGAAAGTACGTCTTGTCATCGTATTTTTTACGATTAAAAGAATCTCAAGATTCGTAATTCCGTAAAAAGAATCCACAAGGCAAATGAGAATATCGTGTAGAGCATCTTGAGATCTCACGAGGATAAATTTAAAAATAGTCGGCGGATTTACATCTACGTAAGAGTGAATAAGTATGTTTCACATGGAGAGTAAGTGATTTATTAGAAATAAATCACTACAGATTTATTGCTTTTTTGTCGTTATTGTCGCTATAACTGACAGTGCTTACGATCTCAGGAAAGGCAAGCGATGCAAAAAACCTTTCGTTTAGTTCACGTTTTTCAGCGTCATCATCATAGCCTTGTGGATCGAGTTACGTTGAAACTGATTGGTCGTATTAATCGCCGATTTCCCATGTATTTAGTTACGAATGCAACATATTTTTTTTTCTATTGCGCGATGCGCAGTTTGGTAATTTTTGCTAATTAAAAAAAAAAAGAAACATGACACTGGATAAGACACTCTGATAATGATGATCGATCTCGCTTCCTCGCGCGATTCTCAATCGCGGAGACATTTAACCCGTGCAGGTATTTGACCCTGATGTCGGAATGCACGTGCATCAATTAGAATCTCGCAAACAACTCAAGGCCGGTCAAGCTGAACTTTATAGTGATGCTATAGATGAGAACCACAATGTTTATTTTATAATAAAAATAAACATTTTTTATTATAATTGTGAAATTGCAAATCTCAATTAATTTATATATAAACAAAAACTAAATAAATTTATTTAGACAGAAACCAAAATGTTCTAAGGCTGTATCATAAATAAAAAAGGCATAATAAGTTACTTTATTTGAGCCTTTAAACTAAAAGTAAATTAATTAAAATATTAAATATTTTATAATAATAAATAATATATAAATTTATTAAAGTAAAATTAAAATACACACACACAAAGGAAACATAATTATTTGCTGATATTCGTCATTTCATTTTGCTATCGTGTCACTAAATCACATAATACTAAATCTTTGGAGCGCTATGCAATTGTAAGAAATTTATAAAATATATCTTACTAGAAAACTCAATAAAAATAATTCACACTGTTACGCAATCCTGGCACTTTGAAAGATTTCATTATTGCTAATTATCACTACTCATAATTGATCATCTTTATATTCACCATCTTTTATAGGAATGTTATACAAGTCACCTGCGTGAAGTTAGTACCCCATTTTTGAAATTTTAAAATTCTAAAGGTTGTTCCAGGTTGTTTTAGACTTGTTCTAAATTGTTCCAAAACATCAAATTTATATTATAAAAATTTTCGCGGAAAATTAAAAAATACAATTTTTTGAAAACTATCGTATTCTGACCTGAACAACCTGGAACAAGGTTTTTACCCAAGAGAATCAAAAAATAAAATTTTCCGATGAAGGGTAAAGTAAGCTTTATATTGTTGTTCTGGTCTTGAAAATTTTGTTCTGAGTTGTTCTAGTCGAGAATACGATAGTTTTAAAGCGGGAA